AGTAAATATAATGTCTATAATGAAAATAACATAATCAATATTCATAGAATTAGTATATATAAAAAAAAGTTTTTCCCGCCAATTCAAGGAAATGTGAAATCAGGTAAGGTCATAAGGTCTACTAATTGACTCCTTTGTGGCTAAGCACTAGCAGATCCATCTATGTACAGAGACATTTCACAAAAAAATAAAAAACTTATTCAACCTTATTACAGTGTTAGCTTACCAAAGTCAAGTGCCATTTCCTGCTTTAGGTTTAGTCCACCACCTTGGTCCATGCAAATCATAGGTCTGTTGACATCTGTTTGATCTTTAAATTCTTTTAGAGCCTGTCGGGCATCCTCCCATACTCCATGCACATCAACACTTCTAACAGGACCTCCAAATAATTGACCACTGCACTCCCACAGAGAAGAGTGATGCTGCTGGTTCATGGTCAAATCTGGCCAAACCAAACCAAAGAGTTAAGATACTTAAATGTCTACTCTGAACAATATATATGCATTGTGACAGAGGTCCCCATATTAGATGATGACTAACTTCCATGTCATATACTTGTAAACCCAACTCCAAGAACTTATAAACTGATTATCTGTGCTCTATTTTCATCTGTCAGTATATACTACAAAATTGCTATTTGTTCTAGCATTCTATGGATTATTTTAAAGATTTCTGTCTAAGCCAATGATTATTGAATGTAATACAATTCCTTTGCTATTACAATAATCTCTCTTTTGTTCACACTTCAATCTCTTGTATAAATTAAAAGCACAATAAATAATCCAACTATTTCTCTCCACCTATGGCTTAGATAAGGACGAGGAGGAGGAGGAGGAGATTGAGGAGGAGGAGGAAGGGGAGGGAGGAGGAGGAGGAGGAGGAGGAGGAGGAGGAGGAGGAGGAGGAGGAGGAGGAGGAGATTGAGGAGGAGGAGGAAGGGGAGGAGGAGGAGGAGGAGGAGGAGGAGGAGGAGGAGGAGGAGGAGGAGGAGGAAGAGAAGGAGGAGGAGGAGGAAGGGGAGGGATGAGGAGGAGGAGGAGGAGGAGGAGGAGGAGGAGGAGGAGGAGGAAGAGGAGGAGGAGGAGGAGGGGGGAGGAGGAGGAAGAGAAAGGGGAGGGAGGAGGAGGAGGAGGAGGAGGAGGAGGAGGAGGAGGAGGAGGAGGAGGAGGGGAGGGAGTAAGAGGAGGAGGAGGAGGAGGAGGAGGAGGAGGAGGAGGAGGAGGAGGAGGAGAAGGAGAAGATTGAGGAAGAGGAGGAGAATGGAGGAGGAGGAGGAGGAGGAGGAGGAGGAGGAGGAGGAGGAAGAGGAGGAGGAGAAGAAGGAGAAGATGACTGAGGAGGAGATTGTGGAGGAGAAAGATATTGAGAAGGAGGAGGAGAAGGAGAAGATGATTGAGGAGGAGATGACTGAAGAAGAGTTTGAGGAGTAGGGGGAGATGATTGAGGAAGAGATGATTGAGGAGATGACTGAAGAGGAGATTGTGGAGTAGGAGGAGATTGAGGAAGAGGAGGAGGAGAAGTAGGAGGAGGAAGAGGAGGAGGAGGAAGAGGAGGAGGAGGAGGAGGAGGAGGAGGAGGAGGAGGAGGAGGAGGAGGAGGAGGAGGAGGAGGAGGAGGAGGAGGAGGAGGAGGAGGAGGAGGAGAAGGAGGAGGAGGAGAAGGAGGAGAAGGAGGAGAAGGGGAAGGAGGAGAAGTGGAAGAAGGAGAAGAAGAAGGAGAAAGAGAAACAGAGGCAGTGAGACCTATTTAAAGATAGTCATGGGTCCTGTTTAACTCTTGTACATTTTATATCTTACCAGAATCTAACACCAACTGAATTTGCCTAGCCTCCTTCTTCTGGATTTTTTTCTCCATGGAAGACAATAAAGTTGTATACACTTCCTTTAGTTTTTTGAGGTCTGTTGGAGGGCAGAGGGAGGGCCCATAACAATGATCACCATCAGTGATCTGTGTTAGATTTCTCTCCAATGATCCCTGGCTATGTTCACCCCATGGAGAGTAGTGAGTAGAGAATCCACCTGCTAAATGTTTGAAGAAATTTAGGATGTATTAATGAAAAATATGCTGTTAGTAGATATGATGCAATAAGAAATCAGTTTAATGACACTCACCTTTGCATACATGAATTCATTTTTGGTTTGTATTTCTTCAAAATAACAGATGAAATATTTATATACATATATACCTAAATTATGACCCAACTTGTGGGGGAAAAAGAGAAGCAAGAGGATGAAAAATAATAAATAATAAAAGAAATGTGTTAAGAAAACATATTCACTTCCTATTATATCCATAACTGCTCATTTTACTTCAATGGTTCTGTCCTTATTGCAATGGCCATCTATCAGACTAACATTCATTTAACTGAAGGCTGTTCATCTTCAGAGGAAATAAAACTTTATTGTGACACAGATTTAGGTTCCTTGTCTTACATGAACCTTATAGAAAGATGACTATCATGTACATGAAGAATCTTTTTCCTTCATCATTAAACATTGTG